AGTAGTACTTGTGTGCTTTAATGGCTCATTTTATCACATGCTTTCCTTCTGTGCAGAAATCCAGAGCACCTTGACGAGTACCTTCAAGATGAGCAACTCAGATCCATATCCAATACACATCGATTTACTGCAGGTGTTGGGATTAATAACATGCATGTATATTCACAGCAAGAGCTAATGAGACAAAACATTCATGAAGTATCCCATAGGCACAAATACACCCATCCATCATCTGTACCTGATTCTAATTTTAAGAAAACCCAAGAACGGGATTGTCCCTTGAGTGTTAGGATACATCCACAAGCTAGAAACCTTTCTTCTCTTCATATGGAACTGGTAATAATACTTCCAATATTTTGTTGTTTTTCTTCGTTTACCATTATAGTAACTTTTGACGATAAATGCTATCTAGACTTGTCTTCATTATTTAAACATGAATTTATTGGAGAAGCTCTCATTGTTTACTGAATTACTTGCTAAGCTGCCAAAAAGAAAAGATTGGGTGGTTGTCATTTCTTTTCTTATAAATCCCATCTCTTCTGTGTTTTGGGATTGGTACTAAACTAAATTTGTTCATAGCCCCCTTTGTTTTGGTTTGGACTTCTCCTTTTCTATTCTCAGTTTCATCGCTTGCATGACATGCGAACAGTTAAGATGAAATTATGATGCTGTTGTATTATGTGTGGAGATTTATATTTTTTGTGCACACGCGATCTTTTCCTGCATTTCTTTATTGGTTTACTTCTGTTTCATAGTAGTTCTCTTTGATCTCAAATGGTTAAAAAATAGCAATGCCCCTGTGGTTGTAATTTTTTTTCTTGCAAGTCTAATTTTCCCATCATCAGCTGTTGGACAATATGGTCTATGGGGATAATATTGTCTGCCTTCATCTTTTTCTATTCAAGCTGCTGGTATATAATTTACTTTTTCTGGACTTTGAATTGCTGTATTTTAGTAAACATGGACTGTTAGATCCTAATCTCAGACATTCTGTTGCAGCAAGCTAGTGCAACAACTACACCTATGGATATTTTTGCATCAAGTATTCAATCTTCAAGAGATTCTGATTATGCTTCATCTTTCCTTGGAACCCAATCAATGCCCTCAAGATTTGATAGTACTGTATCATCCACTGGCAATCCAACCATCTCCCAGTCAGAGGTGTGTAAGGAATATCTGCTGAATTTTGAATTAGGTGACTTCATGTATTTGTGCCTGCATATTTTATGAGCATTTTAATTTGTTACTCTCTTAAAGAAAAAGATTAAGATAAGGGACACAGAATTTCTCTGATGAATCTCTGAATAGATTTATGGAGAATCATGGACCTCTGAATTCCAGGCTTCTATAACTACATCAACTTTGTATGCTTGATTTGCAAGATTAGATTAGACTGCATACATGGGATTAAATTGCAATTTTAAGTACAATTATGTTAATTGATTTTGATATAACTATAATATGTCAATGTGATGTAAATTGGTTTTGATAACTATAATTCATAAAAACTTTGCTTTATGGTGTTCATATGATCAATTGGTCCTGTATTGGCTGTTTGGCATCTAGCGTATTATTGTTACATGCCACCTATATACATGTCACATTGCAGTGCTAAGAACATCATAGGTGAAATTCAACAAAGCTAATTTTTCTTCATTTGTACTCGCGAATGCTCAGATTCCGAGCTGGGTTGCTTTTTCTCTACCTATGTCATATTCACCGACACTGCCTGGTGCTAATATTGTCCCACAAACCACACTTCCCCAGCATCTGTCAACTAATTTGCACAATCAGTCTATTGTTTCATTGGAAGAGCTGGCCAATTTGACTGGCTATCCTGCTATGCCTCGGAACTATGCTCGTAATCCATCTGCTTTTCAGCAAACTCATCAAGATAGCACTGTGTTCCATGATTCCCTGTCAAACATGGGCTACAGCCACGCACAATACAAAACAGGTCTTTCCAGGAGCAATTTGCCCTTGTCTGATGTGAACATTTCTGGTTATGGAGGTTTTGGGATCCCTGCCAACTTTCCTGGAGCCGTTTTGCAAGCTGCTGCCCCTACTGGTTCTGCAGGTGGCTATGATATTTTCCGTTCTCAGTATCAAGAGAGAAATAATTTCACCACACGGCAACAGGTAATGGTAATAGGGTTCCCTCTGTTTTTGTATGAACATTCATTTTGCTTTGTCATGTGACTTGTGGAAGCTCTTTGTACTATTTTCAGTACTTCAAAGAGATTTCTTTAATTTATTGTCCTTCGCTTTTGCAATTCTTTTTATTAAAAAAAAAAAAAAACAGAATGATGGCTCTTCAAGAACGATGGCAGCCCTCCTAGACAACGGATATTTGAGTTTGACTGGACAGAGTCAACCGCTTTCTGAATATCCACAAGGTCAGCAGCAGCGCTCACATGATCATAGGTCCCTATTACCCACACATAAGTATCAACAAGGTCAGCAGCTCTCACATGATTACGGTGCTCCATTTCATCATGCAAGTGCTTATCATTCTCAAGCCGGAATTCGACCAGAACAACCACGCCAAGGCCTTAGTGACCTCAGTAGTTCTCAAGGGCCAGCACCCGAGCAATTACAACATCTCTGGCAGCAGAGCTACTTATCATCTAATTGATCACACCACTTTGAATGAAAAGCTGCTGATAGTTTCTGTAGCTCCTTTTGTGGCGAGTTAAAAAGCGGCAAATTAGGTTGTTTTTTGCAGTTAAAAGTTAATCGACGGTTTGGCTCTGTCCAATTTGTAAATACTTTAAACAGGTTTCTCGAATGCCTCAGTTTTGAGATGCAGCACCGCACCCAAGTATTTTACCAAATTGATTGTGGCATTATGTCTTCAGTTTTCAGATGTGGCTTTGCTAATGTGCATCTCCTCAATGCGAAAGTACCACACGTCTGCTTCGTGCTGTTAGTTAGAAAAATGATTCAATGGTGTTATGCTTTACAAGCATAATTCACCTCACCTTTCCATGCTGTTAAAAATAGAGGGGGGAAAAGGAGATTTCCATCTGATAGTTTCCTCGAAATTGAGAGCAAGTTATCATGGTGGTAGTCTTCGTGTGGGCATTGTATAATTAATTTAAAACTGCCTGAAGGGCATGTTTGGGATGGATCGGTAGTGATTTAAAATGTTTTTTTATTTATAAATATATTAAAATAAAATAAAATAAAAATAAAAAGAAATTATTTTAAATAAAAACAAAAAAAAATTAAATTTTAAATTTTTGAGAACGCTGTGCAATCCCAAACACTTACTTTCTCTGGGAGTCGATTGATATGAAGGGCATGCCAGTTGAGAGGTAGGCAGGGCGAGGAATGCATATAAACTAGTTAATTACAAGGTTGGTGCCACTTAACCTCCTCCTAAACATGATCATTCTTTTGGCTCCATGCAATAAATTTATTCGTGCATAATGTGCTACATAAGCTCAGAAACCGAGCTCAGTTCCTGTGTATTCTTTTTGTTTATGAATGGCTGGAGCTGCAGACCTGACATTCCCTTCTGTTGGATCTGAAAGAATCATGGATCGAAGCCAAGGCTCGGAGAAGGTTAATAACCACAGACCGAGCATAGAAGCAATCCTTATGGCCCCAAAATTGCCCAAGGCAGTTCCACCAGTTTCTTCAGCACCGGAGGGTGAAACTATCAGGCGTCCTCGTGGCAGACCAGCTGGCTCAAAAAATAAGCCAAAACCTCCTATTATTGTCACTCGAGATAGTGCAAACGCACTCCGCGCCCATGCAATGGAGGTGAGCTCTGGCTGTGATGTGTGTGAGAGTTTAGCCAACTTTGCAAGAAGGAAGCAGCGTGGAATATCTGTGCTTAGTGGGAGTGGTTGTGTAACCAATGTTACCCTAAGACAACCAACTTCATCTGGGGCAATTGTAACCCTTCATGGGCGTTTTGAGATACTCTCACTGCTAGGATCTGTCTTGCCCCCACCTGCTCCGCAGGGGATCACGGGACTAACTATCTACTTGGCAGGGGCTCAAGGGCAGGTTGTTGGTGGAGGTGTAGTTGGTGCGCTCATTGCTTCGGGCCCTGTAGTAATCATGGCTGCATCTTTCATGAAGGCAACTTTTGATCGTTTGCCACTGGATGACGATGAAATAACTGCTGCTGTGCAGAATCAGCATTACCAAAATGGTCGTCACCATCACCTTGATATTTCAGATTTGTACGGAATGCCGCAGAACTTGCTTACCAATGGTGCTGTGACCCCTGAGATCTACTCTTGGACACCAGGGCGAACCATGTCAAAATCCTAGTTAGCAGCACATCTTCTAGTCTCTCAAATTGGCAAATCATAATATTAACCAATGTTGTGTCATTTCATTAATGTTTTCGGGCTTCCTTGTAAGATTAGCTACCTGTTTTACCTGGCATGAACTCTTTATTTTCCATCAATCTGAGTTCCTTCAAAACACAGTGCAAGGTTCGTGTGTGTGTGTGTGTAGAGAGAGGGAGATTCGTTTGGGCACGCCTTTAAAATATGGCCTTGTGTTTGAATCAAAGAAAACATGCAAATCAATGATGATCATTAAAATCTTAAGAAGCTAATTCATCGTTGGTGATTTTAGCTGTTCTTTGTTTCACTGGAGTTCAACCACAAGTATCAGAACGCATACTCGTTCATTTAAAACAGAGAAATTTTTAGGACTCGCGGGACTAGAAAGAACCCATTTCAAGTCATGATATAATTCGCTAGAAACAACAATCTTAATTGGTTCATAACAATCCTGTTCCATAGCCTTTAATACCCATCCCAAATCATCAGATTCATGGTAGATTTCTTTGGAGGGTGCAGCCTTCCCCCAGAAACCAATTCATGAACTTCACCATTAAATTCAATCGAACTACATCCATGTTCTTTGTCTATCTGCTTTTCTTTCAAAGAAAACCTTTGCTGCATTGCTTCTTCCAAATGACAGCATAAACATTCGACAAAAGTACAAAACTTGAGCTCTCTTTTGGATTCAACTCAGTCAGTCACGTGCTTCACTGCTCGTTTCGCCATCTCAATTTTCCGTACTTCCTGCAGTGGAGAGTAAAGGCCCCCCAGTATAACGGCACCTGGATTTACAGGTATGCTTCTTATTAGCTCTTCTGTCTCTTCGAGGAGTCCAGCTCGGTCTAGAACATCAACCATACAGCTATAATGCTCTATCGATAGTTCGATCTTGATTGTTTCTGTCATTAACAAGAAATAGTCCGTTTCTCTGTCCACCATGCCACCGCGATTACAAGCCGTCAAGACACCTAGGAAACTGATATGATCCGGTTTGCCATTTGAAGACTCAAGCATTGAAAATAATTGGACCGCTTCATTCTCACGGCCATTCATAGCTAGGCCTAAAAGTAGGGAGTTCCAACATGACAATGCTTTCCTGGGGGCGCTCTCGAACACTTGGAGAGCCTTATCAATGCTTCCACACTTGGAGCACCGTCTATAATTGCTGTAACAACAATAGCATTCAACGCAAAGTTGTCCTTTACTATATAATCATGAATCCATTCTCCCTGTCTAAGTGCTCCTAAGCAAGCACATGCATTTAACAAGCTCACCATTGTAAACTCACTTGGCTTAGTCCTCTCCCCTTTCATTCTTCTAAACAGATCCGTTGCCTCAAAAGAACCTTCCTTTCCCGACATACCTACTAATCACAGAATTCCATGACACTGTACTCCTCAGTACCGTATTGTCGAACAACCTCCTATAGACTGATCAATCTCTCCGCATTTAGCAAGTCCTGTGATCATTGTATGCCACGTAGCAACATCAAACCCATAGCACCTTCGAAAAAACCCACAATTTACAGCTTGTATATTGTATGAACTGATCGCCCCAACTTTTTTTAACTTTCCGCCACCTGTATTTCACGAAAATCAAATATTTTTGGTTGTTACCTGTGGGCTGACTTTCTGTGACTCTGAGATCCACACCAATAATTTGGGTCTTTCTTGCCCACTTATTTCTTTGAGTGGGCTTTTGGGAAGTCCGAAAGTGGGCACGCACCCTCTTGTTTTCTGGGGAAGAGGATGGACCGGTAAACTAATTTATAATCCTCAATATTTATCAGTGTTTTTATTTTAGTCACTCGATCTCAAAACTTATTTCTTAGTCCCTAATATCTTACAATTCGATGACATTATTGGGTGGGGACTCTTAGATTATAGCACAAAATATTAGAATCTATCATTAGAGAGTTCCCCCTTCGAACGATATTATAAAATGGTGGGATTTTATCTTCCTTTTCCAGATTTATTCTTAATTTTGAGGTGCGTAGCATGTAGGATGTGTATGTTTTAAGATTAATCCACATTAAAAAGATAAATTTGTGATAGCTATAGCAATTATTATCAAACAATAATGCTTGTTCTTTTAAATATTTTTACTTCAAATTGTCCCCATCAAACACATGCCCACTTAAAATAATCTAGCAAGAGAGCAACGATCAAGAGGTGGCTTTATTTGCACAAAAAAAAAAAAAATTAAGTCTAGGAGTATATTATATAGTAGCACCTACATAATGTATCCAATTGGTCAAAAGTGCAGCCTCGGGATAGAGTTTTGGACGGCTGACCTTTTGTTTTTGGGGAGCAATTTTAGTGATTTTCTTAACATTTTTAACAATGGTCCCCTTCCTTGCAAATTTAAATATAAAATTTTGTTGGAATGGTGGTTCATATGAACGTTTGGTGTTAGTGGCCATCAAATGCTAAACACTAGTTGATGATTGAAGACGCCACCAATTACACGTTAATTAGGAGACAATGATTTTTATTTTTATAAGTATAAAATACACATTTCTTTTTAAGAATCGCATTTTAATTTATTTTTTTTTTAAATCACTATATAGTTCGAGTTGAACAATATCTCTTGAAATGATCTAGCATGCACATCAATGATTTAAATTTTAACTTTGAATCATAGCGAGCATTAAAATTAAGTTCTATCTTAAGATCCCGACCAAAACACGTCTGGTCTCCATACGTCTTGAGGTAAGTCATAACCAATTTAAGGTTATGTTTAGTTTGAGGTTAAAAATTGGAATTAAGGAATTACGTGCTGAGGATATGAAAAAGTGATTAAAGAATAAATTGTCATGATGTTTGGTAATATTGTAAAAAGCTATTTATAATAATGGGGTTCAATAATCTTTATAATTAATATCAAAATCCAATATAATAAATAAATAACAAATAATGGCTAATGGTTGAAGCCAATTGTAGTTTTGAACTGAAATAAATATTGAAATCAAAAACTGATATGTACAAATTCTAAAATTCCTCTCAAGTTATTTTTTCCCTCCCCATCCTAGCATCAGGTGTTAACCCTCTCTCCCCAGTAAAACTTTCAACCAAGGTTAAAAACTAATTTTTTAGATCTTATTTGTTTGATGGAAAGAGATTTTGTCAAAATTATTTTTTAAATTTTATGTATTTATTTGTTATTAGAAAAGTTAGTCAACAAAAAATACTTTCAATAAAAAAAAATTAGTTTAATTTTTAGAAAAATATTTTTTTTATTTTGAGCAAAACATATTTTCAAAAAATTATTAAAAATTTAAAAATTTTATATTATTTGCTGATTATATTAAATTCATAACATAAACATATACTAGAAAATATTTTTCAACTTATTTTTAATTACACTGACAAATATAAAAAATTAATTTACTTTTCTAGAATTTTTTTTAAAAAATAATCATTTCCAAGCAAACTTTTCTAGAATTTTTTTAAAAAATAATCATTTCCAAGCAAACAAATAATCAACCAAAATAAAAAACAATTCAGGCTAAAAAATATTATTTAGGAGAAGAAAAGGGAGTTGCTAGAGCTCTTCACGAGATTAGGAATAAAATTTGGTTGTGATCGGGCTGTCCTGCATGGTTTTTCCCGGGAGCTGACTCTGAGTCTACTCTACTCCATTCGTTTCTTTTCTTTCTGTGAGTCTTTTCCCTGCGTGGTTGCTTAAAAATCTTGCTTCCGCTTTTCTGCTTGGCATCAATATACGACGACGCGTTACCTGAGATGGGCATGGCATGCCTTAAGCACCACTCTTTACAGTCAGGGAATCATTATCTATTTCCATGTCGAAGTGAAAAATTCGACAGGTTTGTGTCACCGAGCAGAATAAGAAATGAAAGGCACATTCTCTCCATGTAGTTGGCAGTCTTGATCAATAACAACCCAACAAGAAACTGTAGCAAATACGTTAACCCAACCAAAAAGCAGAGAGAATACTTGAGTATCACTCACCCCACTTCGGGAGATCCAAGCTCGATCATCCTACATAAGGTCAGTTGTGCAGTGCCAGATTTATCACAAAAACATGCAGCACATATAGCAAAGAAATTGACTGGATCCAATCCAAGTTCGACCTGTGCTCTCATTATTTATAAGACAGTGAAAGAAGAAGCATAAACTTAAAAAAAAAATATTAAGACAAAAGGCAAGATGCATACATCATCGTCATCATTACAACCATCACTTGCTAGCCCACAAACCAAATCTAAATTCCAAAACGATTCTCTCCCTTTACTTCTTTTTCAACCTTCTTCTCACCTTTTCCCTCCTTTGTTGTTCCATCTCTTGCTTGCACCCTCCTCTACACCCATGTCTCCTTTCTCAAGTCTTCCTCTACACCCACATAGAGCTACTCTTTCTCTCTCAAGACTGTACTTATTCCATAAGATATATAATTTTATAAAGCACAAAGGATGCAAAATCTTGTTTTCTCAACAAGATCATTGATGCGCGCTTCTGTAGTTTAAGATTTATTTGCTTCTTTTTTCTTTACTTGCTTTGAATAAAGGGTAAGCTGATTGGATAAATACATCATAGAAGAGAAAGAAGGAGAAGGAGAAAGAGAAGGAGAAGGAGAAGAAGGAGAAGGAGAAGGAGAAGAGGGCTTGGGGTTTAAGCCCATGAGGAGGAGAAGAGGGCTTGGGGTTTAAGCCCATGGGTGGCAGAGTCATCTACTCCCTGATGTTTTTCGTACTCGGTCTCTTCCTTTCTTCAGGTGATGATTTGCTTTGTATGATTGGAATGACTTCATTGCCGAAAAATTGTGTTTCACAACTTCGTTTCCATCAGACCAAGGAAGCAACAATTTCACATTATTGATTTTTTTTTCTTTTTGATATATAAATACATTACTGGTTTTCTTAATTTCTTGTTAACTCAAGCAGACATGATATTCTTAAATTAGATTTCAGAAACAATATGGAGATTTATTTTTGATTAATCAATCGAATATATATAGTGCCTTGACTGTGAGTTTTATCTCCTCATTCAAGTTCTTGGTTTATTTCTGTTCTTTGGAGCCAAGCTTTCGCTACTTTTTTTACATGTTGGAAGCAGAATTTGATAGCTTTCTTCCATGTGGTTTTAGCCCTCTTTTTGAAAATGATGCTTCTTTCTTCCCCCATGATTCTTTCCTATCGATTGGGCTATAGTCTATTGGACGAAGTAGATTTTTCAAATTTCCAATCATGATTCTTATTCATTTGAAAGCTTGTCCTTCCTTTTTTTTTCTTGTCAATTATTAAACATGGTGGCCTACTCCAGTTGGACACTCTTGCTGCACTGTAAATTACCATTCTACTTGTGACTTTAGGCTAGTCGGTGAATTTTGGAACCATGCACATAATAATATCTTGATGTTAAGTATGAAATAGTGTGTGAACAGCACTAAAAATCCCGACCATTCCAAGGAAGCTTGATTTTACTCTTGTTTTGGAATCCAGGTTCAAGTGTCTCAGAAATGTTAGCAAATGAGAATAGTAGACAGGCAGACCATGGAACAAAACAAGTTGTGGATGCGAGGTCTATTTCCAGTACCCGAAAGGACATCACCACCCCGATAACAACTGTTCCCACAATAATTCCCGCCACTCCCACTGCTTCAACTCCAGTAATAAACCCAAATTCCGAGCCTGACTCCACATCGCCTGCTACCACGACACCAATGGTAACCCCAACCTCAACGGCATCACCTGTATCTCCCGGAGCTAGCTGGTGTATCGCTAGCCAAAGTGCATCACCGACAGCGTTACAAGTTGCTTTGGACTATGCTTGTGGCTATGGTGGTGCTGATTGCTCAGCAATTCAGCCAAGTGGAAGCTGTTACAATCCAAATACTCTCCGTGATCACGCCTCTTATGCATTCAACAGCTATTATCAGAAGAATCCAGTGCCCACTAGCTGTAATTTTGGAGGAACTGCTGTTACTACTAGCACCGATCCAAGTAAGTGGGTACTTTTTTTTTTTTTTCATGTACGTGGGGTGACCGGGCTAACTTGCGCGTACCACGACTAATCTCCATGGCCGCCAGTGAATACTTTATTAATTATGAGTAGGTGGTATAATAGTAAAAGTTTACTAATTAATTATGCAGTAGGTGGTATAATAGTAAAAGTTTACTACTAAAAGGTTTAATTTTTTTTTTTGTAGTTTTAAGTTTGTGCTTCTTTACTGAAAATTTATATTATTGTTAATTTAGAATTCGTAAAAATTAATTAAAATATATATAAATTAATTCAAACATCAATATTAATTAAAAATATTAAATCGTATTTGCTTATTCTCTATGTCATATTTTTATTTATCATATGAGATTAGTTATAACTTAATCCCATATTTTATT